CAGTTTCTGGTGTAACCTCGTCAGCCAGAGCTGAGAGGTCGCTGTCTCTGAGTGTCTTGATGAGTGTCTCCCACGTCACTGGCTCCACCCCCCTCCCCTCCAGCCACTCCTGGAGAATTGTGCGAGTTATCATCTCTGGATTTCCAAGGCACTGCTGCTTGAAGCTTCTACTCGACTGCCAACTTCATCGTTCAGCAGAAATACTGCAAAATCAAAGTAGTTGGCACCAACTCTCTGCGGTATCTTGAGACGCAGCAACTGAGGCAGAGTTGGAGGACCTGAGACAATATAACACACCCTGTCACTACCACACACTTTAATAACTCTTAACACTCATGTCTCAACAACTTGGTAACGAGGTAGAAAGGCAAGGCAAGGCAAACAAGTCAACTACACCCAGGACAGCTCTTTGTTTTCCAGAAGAGCTGCCCGGGGTGGGATTCGAACCCATGACAGTCCAAGCCTGAAGACATGCTGACAATGCAATACCATGCAGGTTTGGGAGGGAGAGGAAGAAAGGAAGGAGGGAGAGAAGAGATGTAGACAGAGGAAGACTCACTCATTCTGGGTGTCTTGGGACTGGGAGGATTGCTGTCCACAATACCACTCATCCTGCGTTTTCGCGATCTGACAGGCAGGGAGATAGAGGACAACGGTACCGACACTAAAGGCACAGTGAAGAAGTTGCAGCTGACTCAGCGACTGTGGAAAAGAGGAGAAAACACTATTATCAGTTTCAACACTGACTTAAATCAAACAACAGAGTGTACACAAGACACACACACACACAATCCGAAGTCTCACCTGGAGCAGTTCGTGGTCCAAGCCACACCCTCTGACCAGGAGTGAGGCGGCCTCTACTGTGTCCCAGTGATGAGCAGATGAGGGTTGGAGTGGGCTTCATTTGGAGTGGCTGTGTGCACGTCGTCTGGGCTGCAGGGGCACTGGAAGGCTACAGAGGCTCGCGAATTCTTGAAGGGAAGCACTCGCTGCACTAGCACTGCATCACGAGCATGTCACGGATTCTGGACAGACGGAGGGGCAGGTCGGCCTGCGATGCAGTCAGTAACAGCGAAATGAGTGACTGCATGAACGAGCGTGATTATACGGCTTCTTTGGATGCTGCAACCGCACGGCCTGCGGAAGAGGCAGCTGGAACTTTAACTTTTCTATGTTTCTCGATGGTGTATAAGCCGTTGGCCACCCATACTTGGAGCGCATTGCAGGTCTGATGGACGCAGCAGAGAACACACTTTAGCGATGCGGGACATGTGGAAGGGAGAAAGAGCGACACGTGCTCACTGGGGCAGGCACATATCGCTCCATATCCTTCTATTGCCACCGTCTGGCGCATGGCAGGCATATGAAACTCCTCGCGTCAGAGGAGCTACAAGTAAAGCTCTGGAAACAGCTTCAGAGATCGCATGCCGCAAAACAAGACCAATCACGAAGAAAAGCAACCACGGAAATCCCTCCCGTCAGCATCTCGTGCTCACCACCCCTTCCTCCACAGTCGGACCTCGCTGCAAGCACCCGGCAATCGCAACCACCCCACACCCTGAAAGCCTGTACGGACGATTCGATTTATGCTCGTCAGTGGCATCTGAGGGTCGACAAACACCGCACCAGGGAGGACCGACGGCACGTACATCCACACGCTCATCCGGTGAAGAAAACAAGGCAAGACTCCAGACTCTGTCGCTCCATCTTCAGCCTCCAGCGATGCCTGCATCTCCTCATGATCACTACCTTCTTCTATGCTCTTTCGAACGTACTTGTTCACGTCGTTCAGCAGCACGAGGAACGCTATCGGGGTATCCACATCTCAGGGCCCGCCTCAGTCGCCACTCGATGGCGATCAGGATCGAAAGCATTTGTCGTGTCATCTCGTCGGGATTCTCGGCCGTTGACGGCAAAGATGATGCGTCGCATCATGACCAGGTTGCCTCCAGAGCCGGTAGTGAGGTAGTTTAGAAAGCAGGCTCGGCCAGCCTCTCAGTCTTCTGCTCCAGGGTTTCGTCGCACTCGTCGTCATCAGATCCCTGTGAGTGCCGATCACCATGAACTGGTGGCATGCCTTCGCGCCGGCCACGGCTTGCACATCATGGTGTGGACAAACTGGACCACCATCTGCTCGTGCTGAGCAGTGAGGGCATTGCTCCGTAAACCACTTTCCTTCCTCGTCGGTGAGGCATTGGCGCACAGAGCATCCAGACAGCTCGTTGAGCTTGATGAAGACCAGACGAGGGACACGTTGGTGACTGAAGGCTGCAACGACCTCGTGGATTGAGGCTGTCCTCGCTGTCCAGGAACAGGATTATCTGCAGCTTGAAGATGTGGCTCTTCTTCTCTGTCACTGTCATCTTCGTCAGCCTTGGCCCAACAACTTTGCACTGACATACCTGTGTGAGGACTGCACTATCACATGAACAGTGCTACTACTACTTGCAGCTACACCCTCACTTCTATCAGATGAACTGAGCCTTCGTTAGCAGCCTGCACCATTTCTTTCACCACTTTCGCTACCCTTCCTTTTAAGCAAAACCCTTGCGACCACGTCAGCCAGAAATTGATTGATATCCTCGTCCTTGACTAGTTCGAACCCCTTTGCAGAAGACAAAGCTTTGATCAGCTCCAAAGTAAGCTGTCGAAAGGCCAAGATCGGAGCCTCACACAATCCTGTACTAACGGAAAAGTTCGGGTCGCACTTGATTTTGAAGACGTAATTCTTGGAGAGCGTCTTCCCCGAGCGAGGCCACTTCCTACCTGCATGGGACTTCAGAAAGCCCAGTGGGAAGGAGCCGTCCTGGAGGGCAGCGTCCAGGATCTGTTTGGCCTTCTCGGGAGTCACTGAAGGTACAATAGCAATCTTTAAAAGAACTTCATCATATAGAGGATGGAGAGAGGGCATATGTCCCCCTTTCAGGCACTCACAAATTAAAAGGGCACACACACTTTCTGTAAAACCTTTTACATCTAAATTACGTGTACATCTGGTTATAAACCACAAACCACACCCAACACTAGACATGTAGGTACATAGATGCTCATGACATTGTACACTGAAGCTGCATGTGTCCAATGAACAATGCTTAGCTAAAGATATAGCACGGGCTTCACTATCCCTTTCGAATCATGTCACTACAACATCATAATGTAACTCGATGTTGTTGTCGAAAACGTAATGATTACTAACTCACTCTTGAGTATGTCTCTTCACCTAGTGCTGCTGTCTCTCCCTCCTCACCCCTAACTCCATTCCACAGTAGCGTCTTAACGTGTCCCAGGTAGGCCAGGGGTGACCGCCAGCCATGTAGTGATCAAATCTCGTTTCGCCTCCTCATCATCATCAAACTTTCTACTATCTCATCATGCTGGGTGCGTGGCATGTCACTCAAGGTAGGAATCCTACTACTCCACAGTGGGACATGGGTCGTGTGACTTGTAGGATGTGGCTGGAGTCAGGCTGGGGTCTGGAGGAGTGAGAGAGGGAGAATATTCAGTGACTATTGTTTCCTATCACAAATGTATAGGCAAGGTTAGGTATGAATATTAATACACACAGCTGCTAAAATTAGTAACATCCATAGTACACAGAGGTATGCTTCGTTGAACATGCACGAAGACATGATTGACACAGTTAATGTGTTAGTCCACATGTAATGGTCCAGTGCATGACACACAGTTTTAGCTGACTCTCAAGTGCAGGTCTTTGGGGAGGGGATCAGGGAGGGCAGTACACACAAGTACAATGTACATGTGTGAGTGTAGGTCAAATACAGGACAGTGTGTTGGAACTGTTGTTACATGTTCCGTAACAAATTTAGATACAGAATTTTGATACAAGTTACATTTCTTATTCAGTATGTACTCTAATTGATGTGCGCCTGTTTATAACATGTGTTGTGCTGGTGTTTAGGGCTACATATTATTTCAAAATGACATTGCTCACTCATGTGCATTTTCCTCCACACTTTACACCATAAAAGTGGCGACAATATATATTTATACGATAAAGGGCTTGTGTGGAGGAAAATATACATGAGCGGCAACGTCAGTTTGAAATATGTAGCCATCATCTATTGGCACTAGGTCATCCCTGTCTTGTCTCCTTGCTTTTTAACCATCCCTATATTCACCATCAATTCGAAGATTTTCAAGTGAACTTTTTTATTACATACCAATCACAGTCTGTACGTGAGGTTTGGCAATCCCCACAGCCTTTGTTTTTCCTGCTGCATAGAGATGGAGGGATAAGTCTTTCCAGCTGGGATCAAGATGATAGAGAGCGTAGTACTTCCCAGCCTCAGCAGTGACTTGATCACGATCACTGAACTTCTCACGGAAGAGAGCAGCCCTGGCATCTGGTACTGTAGTGTTGCCATCAATCTTCTCCCAGTCTCCAGATATAGCAGTAAAGACTGGTATGAGGAGGTGCGGATTGAGGGATGGATCTGAGGAGAGGACCAGCCACTGTCATCAATTGAATTCCCAAATATTACAATATTACTATAATTTAAATATGCAAAACAAGCCCGACTGGTGTGCAACTGCAGCAACTACAGTAACACACACTATAGTCACTATGCCACCTAAACCAGTAGGTATAGATGGTTTACAGGAACTTCTAAAGTAAGATCTAATGCCCATATCGACATAGACTTGCTTAACTAAAGCCGACTCACATAATATCATACTTCACAGCTAGGCAGCTGGCAACTATTTTTAGTCCAAGTATGACATCATTCACAAGACTTGTAAACTACATACTTTGATTGTGCAAGACTTACCTGGTGTATTTTCCAGTGTACTATTGCCACACAGTAATTAACCCTCGGCACGCATGCGCAGCGAGGGTTACGATAGTCGTTCTGTCTGTCAGTCTGTCTGTCTGTGTATCTGTGTCGACGCTTATTCAGGCACTACAGGCTACGAGGCGGCCAATTAGCGATACCAGCGGCTTCAGAAGTACGCGAGCCTGAAAAATTATTAGGCGATTTTCCTGAACGACTGTGTTCGAGAGATATGCAGTGAAAACAAGTGAAAAAGCCAATATGCATAATCTCCCTAAGCATGTGCAGTTCGCAGAGGGTTTGCAGTTTAGAAAGGTACAGAGAAAAAAGGGAGATTATGAACAAGGCCTGCAATATGAGCGTAGGTCTAGTCGAAACATTGGTACATAATTTCCAGAAAACAGCTTTGCTCCCCCTACCCCGACACTTATTCACAATTACTGATTTTGCACCCCCTTGGATCGATTTCTAAACGAACCCCTGATGATGTACACACAACTCATGCTGTGGTGGGTTTCAATATAGCCAGAGGTATACAATTGACTGGCTGTGTTGTGTTCTCTATTGTAGCCATACCTGCTGGGGGCTCTGCATACTCCATCAATGAGTCAGCTAGAGCTGTGTCTCTAATGAAGTCCAGATTGAATATCATCTTTCTCATTTTCATTGGATCTGTACTCTGTACATAGTACTCTACTGCACTGTCAACATCACTCTTATCAAGAGGGAATGAGAGGATGTTGCAGAGGTAACTGAGGTGACTGGTGTTCTCAAAGACCTTCCTGAGTGCGGCTTTACTTGGAGGGAGTGCTGCGAGGAGAGGCAATGACATCATCACTAACTAACACAACTTCATCCAAACATTTACAACATCGTTTTCAATACGGCTCGTGATGACGTCATACAAAACTAAAAGTACGTCATCTTTCTCAACCGATCAGACAATACCATCATCACCATTCACTGGGCAGTCATAACCTAACAGTTATCATTTTGTTTCCTCTGTGTGGGGTGCGCGACTCGCGGCGACTGTCTTACGTTTCTTCCACGTCCAGACTTGGTCCCCTCCTCCAGTAGCCATCTCTGAGTCACGTAAGCTGCTTCTGGCCGGCTGGCTGTACTACTGTGTCGTCAGTGGTCGACCTCGTCGATCGAAAGCGGGCCTTGAAAACTGTCGCAAACGTTGGGCGAAGAACAAAACCCAGACGAGAAATGAGCACAGGGCGTGGCTGCTAGAATCACGTGATTTGTAAACCATGTGCGCACGCGCAGTAAAAATTCTAGACAATAGGAAATCATGAAGAGGAGGAGGAGGAGGAGGGGAGAGAGTTTTGGTCAGTCTCAGTTGTGGGACTACTGGCTTTGCTCATACCGTCCAGTACCTTGTTCACCAGCTGGGAGAGGAGAGGAGAGAGAGAGAGGGGGGTGGGGGAGAAAGGTACAGAGAAAAAAGGGAGATTATGAACAGGGAGTATTAAGGCACGCACAAATGAGCCTAGCTCTAGTCGAAACATTGGTACATAATTTCTGGAAAAAGCTGATTGGATGAATGTGAATACAAGCAACCAACTGAATTTTCATCATCTGGGTCATTATTGGGTCCTAACTGACTCAGATATATAGAGAAGAGGAGGAGAGGGGAATGGAGGCGGAGGAGAGAGAGAAACACAAAAATTGTCTCTTTACTGTTATATTTTTAACACAGGTATGGGAGAGCCTCAAAACACCTACTATTGGTGAACCAACCTGAAAGAGGACGTTTCCAGAGACAAAGTCATTATCGACGAGGTTGACGAGGTAGTAGGTGTTCTGGATGTGTGAGATGATGTGGTGGGAGGTGGACTCGGGGCTGTAGAGACTGGCCCAGTGGGTCCCCCACAACATGAAGGCCTCCTCCTAAAGGAGGGAGACACCATCAGTAAGATCTTGTAATGGTAAAAAGAAATGGCTCAATGTCTCAAGAAAGTCGCAGAAAAAAGCAGATTGCAAAATTCCGTAGAAGAGAGCAGGAGAACGGTAATTATAAACAGAGGAACAGCAGGAAATTCACAGAAATAATGAGAAAGAGAAATGTTTGGAACAACAACAGCAAAATGAGAACGAAAAAGAAGTGATTTGTGGCTATACCTTCCAAATATGGAAGCTGACAGGGTCGACGACCGTGAGTTGTATGATCTCCATGCCAGGGAAAACCCCCCAGGTGACCGCTATTGGCTGGTAGGAGTCGCAGTTTGTCATGTTTTCCGTTCCCTGGGAAGGAGAAGAGGGTGGAGGGATTTGAACAGCTATAGACTGCAGTGGTTATAGTCACAACTCTGGTTTCGTGATAAAAAACATTTCGCTAACAAAAAAATTTCAAGAACCTCTGAAAAATAGCAAGTTTTCACCAAAAGTTTCTCAAAGGCAGTAGACAGACGTCTGTACCTGGTGTGCTAAAAATTCTACTTTTGCAGTTGAGTAACAATCACGAAGCTCTCTTGTCGACAGAGTCTTTAGTTGTGTGGAATATACCTGTCGGTTGACAATATTATGGTAGTTGACTTGAGGATAGTCCTACCTCATGGTTTACTCCGGACACCCTCCCCCATCGTCCTACCCCGTTTTCCCCACCCCGGGGTCTGTGGTACCCAAACCCTACCCCTACCTCCCCCCATCCTCCCACATGGATTTCCCCTCGTTCCCTTAGTCTTTAGTTGTGTGGTATATATACCTGTCTGTTGACAATGTGGTAGTTGACTTGAGGATAGTCCACCAGGACCGTCATTAGCGCTCTCATGAACGACGGACTACAGAAGAACTCCAGATATGCCTGTAAGTAGAGAAAAAGAGGGAGGGGGAGAGAAGGGTTATTTTGTGGCATTGAAGAGGAGTCTTGCATGTCAAGACATTATTAATCCTTGGGAGAGTTTCCACCACATTCAAATGGACAACAAGCAGAGAATGATATAATTATACACTTGTTGCTCAACGATCAACATGTAAGTCAGGGGAGAGGGGTCCTTGATTCTGGGGTTCGGAATTGCGGGGGTCTTAATTTCAGGGGTCCTAATCGCAGGGTTCAGGTCTGGTTCAAATTCAGGTGGCCAACCAATCAGAGGTTTACATGTACATACCACTACTCTATACAACACACACACTACATCAGAAGCTGGAGAAGTGAATTTGCTCAGTGAGGTGTCCTGATTACCTCAAATGAGGTAAGTACACACACATACCTTTTGATAGACCTCGACCAAGGTTAGCCCAATTTTCAACAGTGACTCTTAAAACTATTTTCACTGCACTCTCCAGCTATAGTCAAGGTATTCAGGATGGTTGGTTGGTCTGTCCTTCCCCCCACTTGCTTGCTAAAAGTACAAACAATTTAGGCCACCCTATATTTTCACTGCACTCTCCAGCTATAGTCAAGGCATGCAGGATGGTTGGTCTGTCCTTCCCCCCACTTGCTTGCTAAAAGTACAAACAATTTAGGCCACCCTACTCTTTCACTGCACTCCAGCTATAGTCAAGGTATTCAGAATGGTTAGTTGGTCTGTCCTTCCCCCCACTTGCTTGTTAAAAGTACAAACAATTTAGGCCACCCTATATCTTCACTGCACTCTCCAGCTATAGTCTATATACAATACCTGTGTATGTAGCTCTTGGGTCTCTGGGCCCAGAAGATTGGTCTGACGTCTTCGGTACACCTCTTGTGACTGGCTGGAGCTTTCCATGGCAACGTCTTCAGTGACAGCGGGTCATCACACCACATACCTTGGAGGTGAAGGAGGATAAAAGAGGAACATGATAGGGGGAAAGACGAGAGTTGTGGGTTAGAGAGGAAAGGTTTGAGCAAGATAGCGGAAAAGATGAGAGAGTGAAAACTACTATAGTGGAAGAAATGTGAACATACCTAGTTCAGTAAGGATTGAAATAGTGGCGACCTCTCGATTCAGAGTATAGAAATGTAGACCATTCACCTGTACATAAGGAGAGACAGAGAGAGAGGTAAAATAAGTGAAGAAATAGAGAAAATAATATCTCACCAGTCCAGAGTTGAGTAGCTCTTTGCACATGTTGACGGCAAAACTGATGCCAAACTTTTGGATCGCGGCGTCGTCATCTTTGATGGGTAAGATGGCGTCCATGATGTTTCGAGGAACCTCCAGTTTCGATAGCTTTGTCAGATTGTGCAGACTCCTGTAGCCCTATTGTGTGTATATAGAGTACACTTGTACTATAGCTGAGAGAGAAATTGCAAGAATACCACATGGTTTCTGTTGGCACAAAATTGTTCTTGAAACTCGAGAACAGGTGTTTAACTGGACGAGTACACAGTGACAGGTACATACATACACTGACATGTGGCAAACATTTCAAAGGGAACAGATATTTAACTGAATTTGAAGAGAAATTTTGATGTCAGTTTTACGAGGGCACTACATACAAAGTTTCAGATAAGTATACACGCAAATACTGTTGTCGATAGACTAATTGACAACTAATTCGATGTACCTGAATGGGCAGTATTCCTGGCATGATGGGAACAGTAATCCCAATCCTCCTGCAGTCATGGTAGAACTTGATGAAAGTTGAGGCCTCGAAGAACAGCTGCGTGATGATGAAATCTGCCGCCCGCGTCCACCTTCTCCTTCAGATGTTGAATATCCTCATCGTAGTTGGCGCAGTCCGGGTGACCGTGGGGATAACCTGGAATTACAGGGACAAACCCGTTTACAAAACCGGACTGACCAGATTAACCTGAATCATTAACTACAGCAAATCTCCTCTAATCAGGACATTAATGTTGCGTGACAGAAAGACGTTTCCAAATTAGTGAGGCATTTTTATTTCATAACTCGCATTTTTATATTTCATGCAAAAAATAAGGAAGCATCTACATCAAAATACTTGCCAACTATGGTCCAAAAACAGCTAAATTTGTATAAAAAAGTATCAGTGACTTTTGCATAAAATCGGTTGAAGCGTAAAGAAGTTAGGGAGGAGAAAAGGAAAGATGAAAAGATGAGAGGAAGGAGAGAGGGGTTGTAAACCTGCCACACAGATGGTGAAATAGTCTCCATAAAGTTCTCTGATGAACTTGACGAGATCAGTTCCGTAGGAGAACCCATCAGGTATTGGTCTCCA